TTCTATGCCGCCATGGCACCAGCGTAGATCTCAGCCTCACAGCTAGACTGGGCAACAAACGATGAGTGAGTGGACCTCCACGAGATGGTGCATGCACCAAGGCTAAAGTAGTAGCCCTGAGAGGACCTGAGGGTCTCAACGTCGTCTACGAACAAAGCGTCTGTGAGTGCTGTAAGGACCACTGGCCTGCGTCCTCCTAGCACTAGCCCCATGTCCAATGTACTTGCTAGATAACGCAAAACCATCTTAACGACCGACCAGTGTTGTGGTCGGTGTCTGGTTGTGGCCACAAGCGAGCAAGGATGCTGAGAGGGCATGCAAGATCTGGACGAGTGCAAGTCATCATGTACATGAGGCAACCCACCAACTCTGCATAAGGACCACTAGGCTCTACAGATACCTCAGGGACTAGAGTCAAGAGCATGTGATCTACAGGTAGAGGTGTGGGCTGTTCGGAGGAGAACTGAAAACCGAACCTCTGAAGGACCTGGCGCACCAAGTGTGACTGTGTGAGAGGGATGGTGCACACTGCTCTATCCCTGGAGATCTGCAGGCGAAGGTAGTGGCACAGCTCTCCTAGGTTAGTGCAGGTGTGTCTCCTCAACAGCTCAGCCTTCATGGAGGCATGTGCGTCTCTGTCTGCAGTAGCAAAGACCAGGTCGTCTACGTAGACAAGGATGTAGAACGGGGTGTGGCCAAAACGAACGAAGAGCAAGGGGTCTGCAGACGACGGGAAAAACTGCATGTCAGCTAACGTATAGTAGCTCGCAGCGTGTCGTGCCACTGATGGAGCGCCTGCCGTAGGCCGTAAACCGAGCGCCAGAGGAGCCACTCGGTATCAGGGGCGAAGGTGTCGGTGAAGCCGGGCGGACGACGCTGGTAGACCTGCTCGTGAAGACTGCCCTGGAGAAACGCTGTGGAGAAGTCGAGGGAGTGCAGGTCGTAGTCACGCTGTGCTACAGTATGTGTAGCAACGCCAAGAGAGTGGTCATCTTCGGGGTTGGGGTGAAGGTCTGAAAGAAGTCAACACCCTTGTGCTGACTAAAGCCTCTAGCAACGTAGCGCACCTTGAAGAGCCACCGGCCATCGACTACGTTCACCCTAGGTGGGGAAACTGCGTCGACGTAGGTGCCGGTGGATCTCCAAGATGCCATCTCCACGTCCATGGCGGCTATCCACAGAGAGGCCCAGGGTCAAGAGGTCGCCTCAGCGTAAGTGTGAGGGGTCGGGATGTCAAGGGCGTCTGGGTCACCCTCAGGGACTAGCAGCATGGAGCAGAGATGGGGAGCAACCTCACACAGGAAAGCGAGCTTGTACTGCCTGTCCTCTAGATCATCACTTCCAAGGGCAGGGGCACCCCCAACGGACGGAGGACAGGCATGGTCAGAAACCAGAGCGGTAGTGTAGTTAAGGTGGCAGGTAGAGGCAAAGTCAGGGATGGCAGCGACAAGAGCGTCAAGACTGGAGACAGGAACGGACGGGTCGGTAACAAGAGAAGCGAGAACGCGAGGGACAAGCAGACTATTGGCACTGAGGAAATCAGAGAGAGGAGGAGGGGAGACAACAAGCGACGACTGAGGAGGCGACGATACTAGGGGAGCACAAGACGCATGAAAACGTAGCAACATAGGGTGTGAGCGCTGAACTGGAGAGACTGGACGAGCACGATAAGCACGGTGAGACCTCCGGGGGGGGGTGGGGTCAGGAGAGAAGGGAGGAGACACAGCAGGAGAACGAGGGGGAAAACGAGCTGGGGACGAGTCCGGAGGAGGAAACACAGGGCCGTAGACAGGCGGGAGGGGAGTGACGTGAGACACACCAGAGGGGGCAGGACGGGGAGGGAGAGAAGCAGGTGCTACTGGGGGAGTGGGGACCAGGAACAGGGGCGGGGCAACCGGGAGACCTCGGTGAGGAAAGCGGGTGTAGAAGGAGACGGACTTGTAAAAAATGATGTTGCGAGAGTGAGAGAAAGTGTGAGACGGCGGGTGGTAAAAGTGCCAGTCACATGCGTCTAGGGGGAAGCCAACAAAGACACAGGGGACAGTGCGGGCTATGAGCTTGTCCATGCCAGAGGCACGAATGTGAGCGAGACAGCCCCAGACGTGGAACGCAGACGCGTCAACAGGGGACCTGGTCCAGAGGAGGGTGGGCGAAACCTGCGGCTGCTGGGAGTGTGGCCATAAGTTAAGCTAGTGAGCGGTGTAGCGAACAACAAATGGCCACATAAAATGGGGTGCACCGGCATGGATCATGGAGGTATGAGCCACCTCCATAACCAAACCGATGCGTTGCTCAGCGAACCCATTCTGTTGCGGGGAGTCCGACAGGGTGTACGACTGGGTGATGCCCTTCGCACGACAGAACTAGCATTCGGAGGCAAACTCGTCGCCACAGTCGGAGTGAAGACGCAGCATATGGAGGCCGAGGTGGACTCACGCAGCTACGACCCACAAGATAAGAACTTTAGGCACGTCTGCCTTCCGCTCCAGGGGAAACACCGTGGTGTAGCGCATGTACTCGTCGACGAGCACCAGAAATTAGCACTCTCGACGCGGCCCTGGGACGGGGGCTGGGTCCTAGACGTCCAGGTGCAGGGTCTGGAGTGGCGCAGAGGTAGGGGGAAGCAAGGAGGAGTAAGGGACACTGCACAGCCGGCCCTCGACGCAGGTCGTGCACGACGGCGCGGGCGAGGGAGGGAGGGCAGGGAGCGACGCAAGGAGATGTAAGACAAGACCGTCCTGTGACATGTGACGTAGACGTGGGAGTGTGTGGTGACCCAAGCGTTGGTGCCACAGCAGCGACGGGTGGGTGAGCGACTGACACGAGCAAGCCGGAGCGACTTGGGAGGGCACGACCACCTGGGGGGATGTCCCACCGGGGGGGACGCGTTGTCTAGAGTGAACAAGCCAGACACCGGGTCTTGGGGAAACGTGGTGAGACAGGCACTAGTGGCGGCCTCGGTGCAGACCACGTACCGCTCGTGTCCAGGATATGTAGTGGTAACGCCGAGGTCCTGAAGACAAGCTTTGGTGTAATGCCTAGGGTAATAATTCCAGGTGTGCAGTGCACTGTGGTGGGTGGATGAGCTGTTCCTATGCATAAGGACGAATTCCTACAAGTAGGATCAGAATCAGAAACGCAAAATTCATTCTTGATCCCGTTGCCCGGTCTTTAACGCTAAGATCAGAAACGATGGTGCCACCACAACGTCGCATAGGGACCTCCGATTGGCTGGCCCTACAATCACATTCGGGACAGCACCCAACGAGCGCTAAGCAAGCGCCGCGTGGCATAAGCGCGCCGACACGCGACGTGCAACGAAGTGGAACTCTAAAAGGCAGAAAACCCACATACGGCATGCGACGGGGACAAAAACGAATTTCGTTTGTGTTTCTGCTGGCTTCGAATTTCGGTATGTGAATTCCTTTGCTCGTGATTGGAGCACACGTTTCCCAACAGTTTGGTTATGCGTGGCGAGGAGTTTGCAACTGTACTGTAAACTTGCGTGGTCAAGTCCGGGCAGTCAAAGTGAATTTTGTGCTGAAAGTGAGGGGTGTACCCGTAGGATAGTGTGAAGTATCCATGTCCCCACGCGAAATTCACTTGCGATCGCTTTACATAATTGTTTATCCGCATGTAGTAAAACGGCAGGATCATAAACATTCTTGATTCTGATCCTACTTCATAGGAATTCGCCTTATGTCTCTTTATTGAGAAACATTTTCCAGTTCACTGGAATTGTGGAGCCTTCCATTCCATCCATAACATTTACGGAAGCGAATCGCGGGACAAGAGAAGGTTGAGACGTTAAAGTAAGCTAGGATCTAGGTACGAGGGAAGCCATAGAAATGGCGAGAGGTTTTAGGCTAGGAAAGTTGAGGAGAGAAAAGGGGTTGAGAATAGAAGAGAGAGGCATACAAGGAGGGGGGTTGTACCCTCTACAGTAGGTTTCAGTAACACCTACCAAACCTACCAATTATATAACAAAATATATCATTTAACACACCCCCTAGGCTTGGTAGTTTAAGAACCCACACACTCCCACACCCCCTAACCTAGCACCCCCATTTCCAGCAGCAGCCGCGATGACTCCGGAATATCCATGGCCCGGGAGATGGCAATGGCAGCAGGCACATCAGTGACGAGAGCGACGGCGGTGGTGTGCAGCGGCAACTGGCCAGCGGCAACGGCGGCGGCGGCGGCGGCTTCAACGTCAGAGGCGGTTGCAGCGGCCCCGGCCCTCTCGGTGGCTTGGCCAATCTCATAACGGCTATGGGAAGGCCCTCACGAGGCAGTCGACGGCTGTGGCAAGGAAGAGGGGACGCAGGGGAAGGAGGGGGTTGGGAGGGGGGGGGGGGGGGGGGGGGGGGGGGGCGTGGTCCAGAATCACTCCCGTGGTAGACGAGCGGGCGGCAGGTCTAGCGGCGCCACAGGCGTTGCGCGGCCGGCTGCCGCCCGACGGCGCCGCCACCGCAGCATTACAACGCCGCCACAGTGCGGCGTCGATGCCACGGCTGGACGTCGATGCTGCAACGGCAGCACGACGGCGCCGTCACGCCGCCACGGCTGGACGTCGACGCCACGACAGCGCGACGCCACGGCAGCGCGTCGAGACAGCCGCGGCACGACCCGGTCAGCGGCACGACGACGCTGTCACAGCAGCACGACGCGGCCGCCATGGCAGCGCAAGAGGAAGAGGAGGAGTGCGCGGTGGAAGCGTAGGGAGCAGGCCCGGGAAGGGTGACCTGCTTTGTTACCATGTTAAAGTATGCTAGGATCTAGGTAGGAGGGAAGCCATAGAAATGGCAAGAGGTTTTAGACTAGGAAAGTTGAGTGAAAAGGGGTTGAGAATAGAAGAGAGAGGCATAGAAGGAGGGGGGTTGTACCCTCTACAGAAGGTTTCAGTAACACCTACCAAGCCTACCAATTATATAACAAAATATATAATTTAACATGAGAAACATTTGCAAGCAGGCCAGACTACGTTACAAAAAGGCTGATTGTGATTAAAGTAGCAGCAAAACATGCCTTACACAGCAAGGAGTACATGCAATTTCCCCCAAAACTTGCTCGTCCCTCGAGGAACAAACTTAACGGAACAGAGCTGCACGGACCTTGTGATGTGAGACAGCAGCACTTTCACGGTGAAAAACCAAGAGAAGCAACTTATGAGTCGATTCAAGAGTCTGCTTGCTCATGCCAGGAAAAATCTCACCCAAAAAGAGCTGCATGGACCATATGATGTGATGCAGCACTTTCACAGCGCAAAACCACACGAGCCCGAGACGAGCTGAATCTGACACAACTAGCTGTTCATAAATGGCGGGGCAGGGGTTCACCCGTGGTTCAAAATTTTGGAGCGGAGCTTCAGAAGCTGTGGAGCTGTTGACCTGTGGAGCTCTGGAGTAGGGCGGAGCTCCAGTGTTTTGGTCAGAAGTTGTGGAGCACCTGTCATAAAGGACACGGCACGCACAGCCGAAATGTTATGCCACCATGAAGCAATATGTTACAAGTAGAACTTCACACGGAATCATCATATACATACTACTGAACACCAATCCATGCCATGCCATGCCATGCCATGCACCCTAGCTCGCCCTGGAGAATGATTTATTGCACCACGCTCAAACATCTCATCTGGCTTCAGACAGCAATCCAAGCTCACAGGTTCATTGCAGCATCAGCCATGTCATGCCATACCATGCAATGCCATACCATACCAAGCCATGCCATGCCATGCCGAACAACTCACCATGGAGAATGACCCACTGCACCATGCTTCAAACAGCTCATCTGGTCAGAAGCGCAGTGGAGTATCGACCATGCAATTCCATGCCATACCATACCATGCCATGCCACACCACACCGCACCACACCATACCATACCACACCACACCATACCATACCATACCATACCACACCATACCATACCATACCAAACCATACCATACCGTACCACAACTTGCCATGCCGTTTATCATAACCCACCCTGGAAAGTGGCGCACTGCACTACGCTTCAAACAGCACTTATGAGCTGATCACCACATTGGAGGCCCCCAAAGACCAAGCTAACCATCCAGTTCCATGCCATTCCGGTTCATGCCATGTCATGCCATGCCATGCCATGCCATTCCATTCCATGCCATTTCAAGCCATCTACCAAAACTCACCCTGGAGTACGACCCATTGCACCATGCTTCAAACAGCTCGTCTGGCTTCAGCCGCATCTCTGCCGGAGTAACAGCAGCAGAGACAGATGGTCCAGGCAGCAGGGAACCAGTAGTGGCAGAGGTAGCAGCAGCAGGAGCAGGAGGAGGAACAGCAGGAGCAGCAGCAGCAGGTGGTGATGGCAGTTGTGGAATACGAAACAGGGGAATGGGTAGCAATGCTGGTTGTGAGGTGGAGAGAGGGGTGGAAAGAGGAGCTGAAAGAGGGGCGGAAGAGTGCATCATGTTGGCTGGGTTGGGGCGCGAGAGCGTTGGGGCAACCTGAACCGCTGGGGCAACCTGAACCGCTGGGGCAGCCTGAACCGCCGCGGCAACCTGAACAAATGTTGGAGGTATCGGAGCTAGATTCAGTAGGGCATCTTTGATTCTCTTCAGCTCTGCCTGAACGAGGAGCGATGCAATCGCATCAGCAGCAGCGGGCCAATCAGAGCTAACTCTCGGAGCCACGGCGGCACAGCGCTGGCCAGGTAGACCAAGAGAGAGAGCACCAGTAGAGAGCGAAGCAGCAAATGCGAGAAGAACTGCATCGGCTGAAAGAGGAGCTGTGGGGGATGCCGCAGAGGGGGAAGCAGTAGAGGGGGTCGGAGCAGATGGGAAAGCAGCAGAGGGGGGAGGAGCAGTGGGGGAAGGAGCAGTAGGAAAACGAGCAACATCAGCAGAGGGTGGAGGAGGTGCATAAGCGGATGGAGGAGGAGGCGCATCAGCAGATGGAGGAGGAGCCATATGAGCAGCAGCCTCCCCAATGGGTAGGTGCTGATGTCTATGGCTGGTGTCAGCAGAAACTGCACACTGTGTTGTGTGGTGGGCACATGGCCTCTGATCCGCTTCAGATGGCAAAGTGCAGCTGGCTTGTGAAGAACTTTCCTGCTGAGGTATGCGATGCATCTGCTGACGCAGGTCACCCAACAGAAAGGCTTCAGACATCTGCATTGGGGAATCGACCAAGCATGAGGTTTCAACGCCCTTCAATTCCTGGGTAGGTGCTTCGACAAGAAATGAGGTTCCGTGATCCATCTCTCCACGCGGCAGAGGGAGCGGAGGTGGGAGAGTAGGAATGGGGGTAGTAGGAGTAGGAGGGAGAGTAGGAGGAAGAAGGGGAGTAGGGGGACGAACACGAGGGAGACTAAGAGGAAAAGTAGGATAGAGTGGGGAAAGAAGAGGTGCTGTGAACAGTTGCGAGGCTGATGAGCCGCAGTGCGAGTGTGAGGACATGGCTGCTGCGCTTGAGATTTCAACCATCATCTCATCACTGGCTGCGTCTGCTGCTTCATCCTCCACATTGGCTTGGCTCATTGCTGTCACTTCTGTTCGAATCTGAAGATCAAGTGTAGCAGATGCACATGAATCACTAGAAGCTCCCTTGCACAAGCCCTCTCTGTCTGGGGCCATGGTTGAGTTCTGCACCGCCGACATCATGAAGCTTCTCTCACCCACGTTTAAATCCCTGTCACATTGTTGATGGTTTGACGTGAGCTGCTGACTTGATATGTGCTGTAGCTGAGGACACGATGTATGGTGCTGATGACAGTTTGAGTCCTGCTGATGGCAGCATGAGGTGCTGAGAAAACACCCATCTCGTTCTTCTAGAGCTTGCTGCATTTTCGTCGCTGTCCCCATCCCAGCATTCGCAGCCACCACCGTGTCTCGTGTCAAGCCATCATCAGCAGTCTCCGTTGGCACGGTAGGCAAGGTGGGCACATGCATTGTTGGCCCGGCAGGTATTGTTGGCCCAGCAGGTATTGTTGGCCCAGCAGGTATTGTTGGCCCAGCAGGTATTGTTGGCCCAGCAGGTATTGTTGGCACAGCAGGCATTGTTGGCACAGCAGGCATTTTTGGCACAGCAGGTATCATCGCCTTTGCAGCCTCGTCCATGTCTCGTGTGAGCTGACGTACGTTGGACAGCTTCCTGCATGCATTAAGTCCGACAGGTAACATGGAGGGGACATGGCACTGTGAGGCGACACCATGGGCAGCATGGAAAACGGTACCTGTCTAAGACGTGCGATTAAGGTGACACGGGAACCTGGATGCATCTAGATGCAACTAGGATGCATTCCGTTCTTGTTGGCCATCTGTGGGAAAAATTATGGCGTCCGGAACATCATCTTACATTGAGAGGGAAGGCAACGGGGACATGTGAGAAGTGTGAAGGCAATGGGATGCCGACTCACTGAACCCTACAATAGGTCAGCTGACACTTCTAAAACACACCTTCAGCGGCAAACTAACACACACTCTGTAGCAAGGAGTACTACCGAGTAGAAATCACCTCTTTAGCAGAATATAGCGGTTGCAGCACGCCTTGTGATTTCGTGTGGGCAGCAGACCCATGGATTTGACATGTAACCAATTGTGTGTGCCATGCTTTGCCACGTGGTCCAATAAGATCTTGTCTTCCTGCTCACGCCCAACAATAGAACACCCGATCCATGGCAATGTTCAAAACAACTCCCAAACTCAAAGTCTCGCAACATCCCAAAAATCCCAAGTCCCAACACGTTCTCCCCACAGCCTCCAGAGACCATCGCAACATTGTGGGCAGGGTGTAGCCACCCACAGATTACCAATATTAGTTCATACAGCGGGTCCACACCCTTGCCTCAGATGGGTTACGCACACCCTGGCCATACCCTCCCCACAACCTGCCCGCACATTCTCACCACGGTCTAGCCACATCAACGCAAATGCCTACGTGCCAGTTTAGCACGGACCCCTTCAAAGCACCATCCGAATTCTACAGCCACGTGGACTCTCAGTATAATGCTCTCACACCGTCAGGAGTGCGTCAGCCCTGATCCGCATTAGGCTGGTGCGGCATGCGCCAAAAGAGTGGTACACTAATTTTTATATTATTCCTATTTGTACAACACACGTCCTAGAGGACTTCCAATCACATGTAATATGCAAAATACCATGCACCTCCAAAAAAAGAACCAGCCACAACGTCATCGGTCCCCCCGATTGCGGGTCACGTCCTGAAAACTAACCTACAACTGGAGGCTAGCACGACCTTCCCCCCTACAAATAAAATGACTTGTGACGGCTATATTCCCCCCTCTTCACCATCGTCACAGCAGGCAGCAGGGGCGGCGACGCGGCGCTGGCCAGGCATAGGGGGTTCTACCTCCTCCCCAATGTACTCCTCCGGCAGGTTCGGCACCTCTGCCGGCGGTGGGAACTTGATAAAGATCTTGTACTTGTTCCCTTCGCTGAAGGTATAGGCCTGCACATCCTCATGCCACTTCGGCCATCGGCCGCACCCCCCCACCTCATGATCGCCAGCCGCATCCAGTTCCGCACAATCCTCCTCTCCCTCGCCACGTTTTTCTCGTTCGGCACCTCATTCTTCTGCAAGCCAGCTGCGCCTCTCTTCCAGTGGCGCACAGGGTACTCTGCCTGCAAAAACAAAACAATACCCCACAATAAATCAGAAGGGGGGCGGACGGGGGACGGGATAAGACAAACTAACGAGACACCATTTCGACTGCATCCAACACAACACTGCACAATGCGCTCATACCAAGGGGAAGAAAGTGCGTCCCCTAATCCTCCTCCATGCCGGCGCACGGCGCAGTGAACCGTCTCTGCCCTTGTCCGCCCGTCCCTGCCCTTGCCCGCCCGTCCCTGCCCTTGCCTTCCCGTCTCTGCCGTTGTCCGCCCTTGCCTGCCTGTCTCTGCCCTTGCCCACCGCCCCTGCCCTTGCCGCCCGTCTATGCTATTGCCCGCCCGTCCCTGCCCTTGCCTCCCCGTCCCTGCCCTTGCCTGCCCGTCTCTGCCCCTTGTCTGCCCGTCCCCACCCTTGCCTCCCTGTCTCTGCCCTTGTCCGCCCTTGCCTGCCCGTCTCTGCCCTTGCCCACCGTCCCTGCCCTTGCCCGCCCGGTCTATGCTATTGCCCGCCCATCCCTGCCCTTGCCTGCCCGTCTCTGCTATTGCCCGCCCGTCCCTGCCCTTGCCTGCCCGTCCCTGCCATTGCCCGCCCGTCCCTGCCCTTGCCTTCCCGTCTCTGCCCTTGTCCGCCTTGCCTGCCCGTCTCTGCCCTTGCCGCCGCCCCTGCCCTTGCCCGCCCGTCTATGCTATTGCCCGCCCGTCCCTGCCCTTGCCTCCCCGTCCCTGCCCTTGCCTGCCTGTCTCTGCCCTTGTCTGCCCGTCCCCACCCTTGCCTCCCTGTCTCTGCCCTTGTCCGCCCTTGCCTGCCCGTCTCTGCCCCTTGCCCACCGTCCCTGCCCTTGCCCGCCCATCTATGCTATTGGCCCGCCCGTCCCTGCCCTTGCCTGCCCGTCTCTGCTATTGCCCGCCCGTCCCTGCCCTTGCCTGCCCGTCCCTGCCCTTGCCTGCCCGTCTCTGCCCTTGCCCAGCCGTCCCTGCCCTTGCCTGCCCGTCTCTGCTATTGCCCGCCCATCCCTGCCCTTACCTCCCCGTCCCTGCCCTTGCCTGCCCGTCCCTGCCCTGGTCTGCCCGTCCCTGCCCTTGTCTGCCCGTCTCTGCCCTTGCCTGCCTGTCTCTGCCCTTGTCCGCCCTTGCCCGCCATCCCTGCCTTGCCTGCCCTTGCCTGCCTGTCTCTGCCCTTGCCCGCCCGTCCCTGCCCTGGCCTGCCCATCCCTGCCCTTGCCTGCCCGTCTCTGCCCTTGTCTGCCCGTCCCTGCCCTTGCCTGCCTGTCTCTGCCCTTGCCCGCCCGTCCCTGCCCTTGCCTGCCTGTCTCTGCCCTTGCCCGCCCGTCCCTGCCCTTGCCTGCCCGTCCCAGCCCTTGCCTGCCCGTCCCTGCCGTTGCCTGCCCGTCTCTGCCCTTGTCCGCCCTTGCCTGCCCGTCTCTGCCCTTGCCCGCCGCCCCTGCCCTTGCCCGCCCGTCTATGCTATTGCCCGCCCGTCCCTGCCCTTGCCTCCCCGTCCCTGCCCTTGCCTGCCCGTCTCTGCCCTTGTCTGCCCGTCCCCGCCCTTGCCTCCCTGTCTCTGCCCTTGTCCGCCCTTGCATGCCCGTCTCTGCCCTTGCCCGCCGTCCCTGCCCTTGCCCGCCCGTCTATGCTATTGCCCGCCCGTCCTTGCCCTTGCTGCCCGTCTCTGCTATTGCCCGCCCGTCCCTGCCCTTGCCTGCCCGTCCCAGCACTTGCCTGGCCGTCCCTGCCCTTGCCTGCCCGTCCCTGCCCTTGTCTGCCCGTCCCTGCCCTTGTCTGCCCGTCTCTGCCCTTGCCTGCCTGTCTCTGCCCTTGTCCGCCCTTGCCCGCCCGTCCCTGCCCTTGCCTGCCCTTGCCTGCCGTCTCTGCCCTTGCCCGCCCGTCCCTGCCCTGGCCTGCCCGTCCCTGCCCTTGCCTGCCCGTCTCTGCCCTTGCCCGCCCGTCCCTGCCCTTGCCTGCCCATCTCTGCTATTGCCGGCCCGTCCCTGCCCTTGCCTGGCCGTCCCTGCCCTTGCCTGCCCGTCCCTGCCCTTGTCTGCCCGTCACTGCCCTTGTCTGCCGTCTCTGCCCTTGCCTGCCTGTCTCTGCCCTTGTCCGCCCTTGCCCGGCCCGTCCCTGCCCTTGCCTGCCTTGCCTGCCCGTCTCTGCCCTTGCCCGCCCGTCCCTGCCCTGGCCTGCCCGTCCCTGCCCTTGCCTGCCCATCTCTGCCCTTGTCTGCCCGTCCCTGCCCTTGCCTGCCTGTCTCTGCCCTTGTCTGCCCTTGCCTGCCCGTCTCTGCCCTTGCCCGCCCGTCCCTACCCTTGCCTGCCCGTCCCAGCCCTTGCCTGCCCGTCCCTGCCCTTGCCTGCCCGTCTCTGCCCTCGTCCGCCCTTGCCTGCCCGTCTCTGCCCCTGCACGCCCGTCCCTGCACTTGCCTGCCCGTCTCTGCTATTGCCTGCCCGTCTCTGCCCTTGTCTGCCCGTCCCTGCCCTTGCCTGCCTGTCTCTGCCCTCGTCCGCCCTTGCCCGCCCGTCCTTGCCCTTGCCTGCCCGTCTCTGCCCTTGTCCGCCCTTGCCCGCCCGTCTCTGCCCTTGCCCGCCCGTCCCTGCCCTTGCCCGCCCGTCTATGCTATTGCCCGCCGTCCCTGCCCTTGCCTCCCCGTCCCTGCCCTTGCCTGCCCGTCTCTGCCCTTGTCTGCCCGTCCCCGCCCTTGCCTCCCTGTCTCTGCCCTTGTCCGCCCTTGCCTGCCCGTCTCTGCCCTTGCCCGCCGTCCCTGCCCTTGCCGCCCGTCTATGCTATTGCCCGCCCGTCCCTGCCCTTGCCTCCCCGTCCCTGCCCTTGCCTCCCCATCCCTGCCCTTGCCTGCCCGTCTCTGCTATTGCCCGCCCGTCCCTGCCCTTGCCTGCCCGTCCCAGCACTTGCCTGCCCGTCCTTGCCCTTGCCTGCCCGTCTCTGCCCTTGTCCGCCCTTGCCCGCCCGTCTCTGCCCTTGCCTGCCCGTCCCTGCCTGCCTGCCCTACCCTGCCCGAACCTGCCCGACCCTGCCCGACCCTGCCTCTGCAGCGAACCTGTCCGGCCCGTGACACACCACCACTGCCGTAGCCATGCCCGCGACTGGGCCTGCATGCCCGTCCCTGCCATCACCATGTCGACCGCGCCCTTACCTCACCGTGCCTGTGCACGTCTCCCTTCCAGTGGACATCCATCTCGTCTAGAACCCTGTCCGGCCGCCTAGCCTCCATTGAGGCACCACGCTCCAACCAAGTCGGCACCTTGCATATCACCCACGACCCTCATTGTAGCCAACCCCAGCATATCCACTCACCCCATACAATGCAAACGCCATGTTGTACGGATACACGACCAGCACAGTGCCCGTCAGATGGCGGGCGTATGCGACGGCCATGAACACCTCGAACACCTCCAGGGCAAACGGCATACCCTTCTCGTCACAGTGCCAAGTGAGCGAGCCGAACGGCCCTGACAGAGGTGTGGGTTGGGGGGGTGGGGAGGATGCGGGAGAGGGGGGGGGGGTGAGTTGAAAGAGGGGCAGATCCAGCGCTTGTGCACAAAACAATTGAGTGGCATGGACCAGCTTTGGCACCACACGCGGAACCCAAGTTCCAGCACGACATACCAGGGGGAAAGTCCTTGCACGCTGACTGCGGGGTGCGATCCTTAGCACCCACGACTTCCTCCCATGGAACCCCCTCTGGCATGTCCCGCACAACACGTGGAATACCCATGTAGCGGTACATGAGCGTCTTGCCGAGCCGAGTTATTGCACCACGAAGGCGGCCGCTCACACATGACCATTGTGTCTGGTGATCGGTCGCATTGCTGAGCACGAGAACCAGATTCGCCTCGTGGTGTTGCATGACCTTCTGGAGAAAAACAGTCCAGTAAGCAACCACCTGAGGCAAGGGCCACATGCTCAGCTCTGCATCATTCCCCTTGATCGGAGAGAAGATGCACCTGTAATAGACAGCCACCCATGGCTTCTGTGGGGGCAAAATCAGAACAACCATGAGAACCCAGGGACAGAAACAG